TGTAGATCTTGAAAACCGATGTATAGCCAGCACACGGGCCATCGCTGGCTGAAAGTTTACATTTGACCCAAACCTGGCCCTCTCGCCTGGTTCGCACGTGGAGAAGGAGCGGCGTCCACGAAATTTCCACAGCGTCTCGCCGATGGATATGTTCTCGTTCGGCACAAACACCGACCTGAATCGCTCCCCGAACAGATCAATCACCTTCCAGAGTCTGTCATCATCTGCCTGCACCTCCTCGTTGTCAACAAAATGCAGGTTTCGGGAAATCTGCTCAAAGCGCTCCCTCGGCATCGCGTCGGGGATGTTCTGGCATCCCCGGGTTCCTCGCCCAGCAGAAAGCGACCCTCGCCTTCTGGGTTAGACCCATGAGGATCCTCAAACCCAGGTAGCAGTGCAGCTCCGGTACTGTGACGGGGCGCCACCTGCGGCCACGGGTTCTCTCCCTTTCGTTCCCCTCCGCAAACCTGCAAGAAAGCAAATGGAATGAATTAGATTTTGTAGATTCATTGGTCACCGTTTCTATTCTATCTGAGTATAGCAACACATGAATTATCAACCAATCACGTAAATCATCATCAGCGCCATCTATTGAGTCAACAACACAATAAATAGCCGGTCTGTAGTCATTCTTCATGGCGAGATCACACGCCATACAGGTTGTGGCAGTTCATATAATTTTTAGCCAATCAGGTAAAATCAAGAGTGACATCTATTGTCAAAAAATAACAATAAAATCTGTAATCTGCTCTTATGGCAAGAACACATGACTTCGAAATAATTATCAAGCAATCACCTAAAATAAAAGCAGCGACATGAAATGAGTCGAGGAATGTTATCCGGGCCGTCTGAGGTCGGGCGTCATGGCGAGGTCCCGCACTCCGCTTGGCGAGCGTCCTTGTGTGTGTGTGTGTGTGTGTGTGTGTGTGTGTGTATGTGTGTATATATATATAATATATATATATATATATATATATATATATATATATATATATGTGTGTGTGTGTGTGTGTGTGTGTGTGTGTGTGTGTGTGTGTGTGTGTGTGTGTGTGTGTGTGTGTGTTTTATACATATTTATACATGTTTATACATACATATAATTTTATAATTATTATTATCTATAGCCTCATCAAGCATAATCATTTGAACAATAATATAACAATGATTATAATGATGGTTTTGATAATGATAATGACGATAATGATGATATCTGAGACTCATTGCAGAAGTGATTGCTTAACGAGATTGAACAAATAAGAAAGATAAGATTAAGATGATCGTTATCTTTCCTTCAAATACCCGGACTCGCTCTCGTCTGACCTTCAGGGGGGGGGGGGGGGGAGGCAGGGCTTTTGCAGTTTAATCATGCATTGTACACATACATACACAAGCATACTTACATGCATGCACACACACACACACACACAACACAAACACACAAGCACACCCACACACACAAACAAACACAAATACACACAAAACACACACACCCACACACACAACACAAACACAAAACACACAGACAAACAGAAACACACACACACAGACAAACAGAAACACACACACACATGCACATGTATATGTATATACAGAGATACACGCATGCATCATAAATGGATGCATAATTATCTAAATACATACAGAACATACATGCACATTCTCACAAATACTTACGTATACATATACGTATGTCTTATATACATATATGTATACATTTATACATACCTGCATACAGGAATGCCTTCATATATACACATACATACATACATGACCATCCATCCATAACATACATACATGACCTATATATATGCCTATATACATACATGAACATATATCCATAAATATATGCCTACATACATACATGCTTACATATATACATACATACATACATACATACATACAATCATATATACATGCATGCATATATACAGACATGCATAAATATTTGCATACATACATACGTACATGCATACATATATCCATCCATCCATACATACACTGATATATGCATACCTACAAGCATGCATACATACATACATAGATACATGTATATGCACACACATACAGGTATACTCACACACCCACACATATCATACGTGTGAATTCTACATCTATCAATTATTTATCTCTTCCTTTCCTTCGTCCGTTTTATCAAGATGAGACAGTTTTTCGAGACCTTCAGATCTACCGAGTGCCAGTGATGCCAACCAAGTGCCAATCGAGAGTGCCAACGTATCAATCGACGTCACTTTGTGTTGTTAATACTTTCTCTTCAGGTGATTCTGAGTGCCACTTCGATATACGTTGTTAACCCACAGTGCCATAGTGTTATAGTACTACAGGGCTATCGGTGGCATAGCCTACCATAGTGCCATAATGAGACGGTGCCATAACACCATATTGTAATAGTGCCATTGTCCACCACATCATCATATCAATATAGTGCCATAAACTATCATAGTTCCATATTGTTCCCCAACGTCACGTATATCAATATAAG